CCCTCCTTGCTTGGACTCCAGGTAATAGGAAATGGCACTGACCCTTCCTGATCCCCCCGATTACCTTTGTGAAGCGTGAATGTGGCGTGGAATCACACATCAGGAGACGACTTGTAATTATTTCTGCGGCGCCATCAGCATGGATCAATCACTCAGGAGGGCTGCTCGTGGAATGGCGCTCGCAGCCATGGATGGAGGCAGCGGCGGCCCTGTTTGACTGACAGCTTTGGTAATTAAGCGATTGTATAGACCCCACCGACTGTTCTAACAACCTTGCCGGGGCCAGTCTGTGTTTTGAACACACTCGAATCAATGTGCTCCTCACTCCCTGAGCATCTCTGATCACCTCCCCCTGACAGGAGGAGAAACTCTGCGTTCGTCTTTCGCTGAACATTAGTTGTGGCAGGGAATGGCTTTCAAACACAGACGCTCACGTTTAAGTGCTTATTTTTATATCTTGTTTTTTTAGCAGTAAACATTCAGTAAGACAACCCTTGATGAGTTCTAGGTATAATTGTTACTCAGCTCACCTCATGTTGTAAAAGGATGTAGTTGTTTTATTCATTTATTAAAATAATGTTTCTCAAAGCTGCATTCAATATTACAAAGAGTCAAGCTTAACAACTTCACCCTGTGGTGCTGCTGACCTTTGACCTCAGATAATTGACAGCTGCTCACAAAAGGCCAAAAACTTTCGTCTGACATGAACCTGATGGAAACAGCTCTGGTCAGGATCACTAAGAATCAACCAAATGGTAAAATATCATCAAATTTAAGATTTTTTTTTATTTTTTATATACACTGCAATAATTAAACTGTTATACTTATTTAATTTAGTTACATCATCAAACTTGGTTGTTAACATTTTAAAATATATTATTATTTGAAGCTAAAAGTAAAAGAATAGTTAAAAAAATAAATAAATACAAAATAATTAAAAGAAATGGCAGCAGCATGAGTCAGGAAAACACGATGGGACAGTCCATTCAGTAAAGGGTAAAATCACAAAATTTGATTTAATTATCAGTATTTTCCTGCTTTTCTTGCTTAAAAACAACAAAATCTGCTGGTTTCTAATTTAAAAAAAACTAAGTAAAATCTTTAGGATGAAGACAGAAGAAATGTGGGATTAAAACAGCAAAACTTGTTTTCTTAAAGGAGCTAAAGTGAGAAACGACGATGCAGCTGCTCGTACTTCCTGTTCCTGTTTTCTTGTTGAACATATTATGTTATCTTGACCACACACACACACACACACACGCACACACACGCACACACACGCACACACACACACACACACACACACACACACACACACATGAAGCCATTGTGTGGCTGTTCTTGAAGAAAAGATACTAAACATATTTATTTCTTAATGCTGAACTAAATTTAAAAATGTCATTATCCTTTTAAAGAATGTCTCCTAACACAGAATAGATTTGAAATACACGCAGATGTTTCACAGCAACATATGATCATCTGTATATCTGAGGGAGGAGACCAGAACATAAATAAACTCTCCAAAAAAGTTCAATCTGGTCCTCTGGACATTCAAAAAAACCAAAAAACAAAACAAAGCAAAAAAATCTATAAATAAACTCTAAACTTGTTATTATTGTTTAATTGGTAAGAACTTACTGGTTTCAGGGCTTATTGGTGCTGCAGGAGGTTTGGACTCATAAATGTAGCCTTAAAATGAGGAGATCAAAAACAAACCTATATATTATAAAACAAGACAAAAAAAATACAACATGTATGCAAATAGAGGAGACCACCCGACTGTGGCGTGAAACCCAACAATGCTCTGCTGATGTGGGGCGGACACGGACAGAACAAATGGAACAAGGCTGATGTCACCTGATGGCTGACAGGGAACAGGTGAGAGTGGGCGTGGCAGGCTGGCAGAGGAGTGAGTGACAGAACACATGGAAACAAGGATCACAAACTACAAGTAAAAACACAGACCCTGACACGTTGCTGCATTTTGTGATGTTTAGATTTGTCAAATTCAAATAAAGATTAATAAAAACTAGAACATTTAAAATGTAAATTATATTTCTGTGCATGCATTGGGGCAGTAATATAATTTAAGAACAATAAGAGTAAACATTTAAGCTTCAAACAAAAACCATTCTCATAAATAACAAAAAAAGTGTGTGTGTGTGTGTGTGTGTGGGGGGGGGGGGGGGGGGTGTACAATGGTGATTAGTCACGGTGATCTTCTGACGTCACACAACCCGTTGGACAGCTTGTCCATTTGCAGCTGTTAATAAATGTGTGCTGGTCCATATGTTTTGGGAATGAGTTGGTTTTTATTCGGGGGCCTGGATGTGAAGAAAACTTTCAAAATGTCTCCTCTCTGTGGGGATTCTGCGGCCATGATGCTCAGAATATGTTGCTGATGCTCCTGATGGTCGGGACGTGCTTCAAATCGACCTGCGGAGGTGAACTGTGCGGCTGCGGCTGTTTGAAGGAGAAGCCGAGGCCTCGAGTCGGCCGCACTCTGTCGCCGCCTGGTGGTCAGACTGAGACAGCGCCTCACGCGGACAGAGACGGCTTTATTAAAGCTATCAATAATAATAATAATAATAATAATAATAATAATAATAATAATAATAATAGAAGATAAGCTACCACTATTCAGTGAGGTGTGGATTATAATCTGATTTCTGTAATTAAAAAGCAAGATTTAACAAAAACGGAGTAGAGAAAAAAATATATTAGTGCTTTTCAATTTAACTGTAATAATAAAATAAAATAAATATATTAGTTTCTTTAACAATAAATAAACAAACAAACAAATAATATAAATTACAATGTGAATTTTAAAGCATGTTTGTTTCAGTAATAAAGTAAAACAGAAACACTTAAATTAATTGGTTGAATTATTAAGGAACTTCCGAAAAATAGATATTTTTCATTTAGCAACAATTTCAAACAAATTAAATAAAATAATATTAGTTTTATGTCAATTGAAGAACAAACCTGGAGATCCGGATGTTTTTTTCTCCTCGCGCCAACATTACCAGTAACACCTGTCCTGCTGGAAGAAACAGGAAACCACAAGAATAACAATGAAACGAATTATCATCATAATTAAAAATAATAAAATGAGCCATTTGTGAGGGGAGATGGAGCAGCGCGCGCAGCTTTCATCAGCCGGGGAGCTTCTCTCAGACACTTTAGCAGCTTCAGCTACACATTTTTCTCCCCCTCTTTTTTTTTTTTTTTCCCCCCCCCCCCCCCCCCAAACCTCCCCCGCCATCCTTCAAACCCACCTCGGGATCTGCGGGGAGGAAAGTGCTGAGTTTCTCCTCTCTTCGCGCGCTCATTAGCGCTTCATAATTACTGCACTAATTAGGGCGACGCGGTGATTAACACGATGCGCTCCATGACAGCCAGAGCTCCGGAACTACAGCCAGACCGGATCCCGGCTCTCTGGACACGGACCAGGAGCCACAACAGCCGCGCTCAGCCTGAAACCTGGATGGGGTTGGAGTTCTCCTAACTGGGCCTGGACTGAGATAAGAGCACGCGCAAGATATTTAAATCTGACTCAGTTTTTGCGACCAGGACGGTGGAGTTTCTTCTCATCAGGTTTCCACTTTCAAGCAAAATTAAATGTTTAAGACTTGAATCAAAAATATTAAAAAATTCCACGAGTTTGTTTATTTTTTCTGAAGCTGGTCGAAGTTGATATATAAATATTTCCAGCGTGATCTTAAAGTTCCTTAAATTGTTTTTATTTTCGGAGCAGAGCCTCTACAGACGCAGCTCTCTGATTGGTGCGCTGCCGGAGCCGCGCAGGACGCAAACCAATGGGGTGGGGGTGGGGGGGGGGGGAGCGGAGAGACAAACAGAGAAAGAGAGAGAGAGGAGAGAGAAAAGGGCGTCGAGTGTTTATTATAAAGCAGAAAATATTAATTCCTCCCTTCGCCGTGGGCCGTGACGTCAGAACAGGAAGTCATCGTGGAGGAACACCGGAGCAATTAGCGGCAAAAAGGGGAGAGCCTGAAGTGGAGGAGTCAGCTTCATGTATATCTCTCTGTGCGCCTCAACTTTTAGCACAAAGTTCAGAATCCAAAGAGAAAAAAGGCACGCGGAGCGGCGCGCGCTGCTTCCTGCGCTCGGTCTGAATGTAACGTTGTGGAGCATCTGTGTGGATTTTCTGCATCTTTATTTCTCACGTCTCCTTCTTCCTTTTTGTGAAAACATCCGACAGAGCTGATCATCTTTTCCTCCTTGAGGTTGAGTGTTTATTCGCGGTGGGGGCAAGCCCCTCACTGGTGGCATGACGGCTCCAGCCCTCCTTTAACATGGAAGCTTCCTGCGGGTCCAGTTTTGGGATTGACACCATTTTATCCGGCGCCTCGAACTCTGGACACCCCGCACTCATGAACGGAGACTTCCGGCTCGCGGACAGGACAGCGGACTTCAGGAGCCAGACCCCCCCGTCGCCATGCTCGGACATAGACACGGTGGGAACGGGCCCCTCGTCCCCCATCTCCGTCACCATGGAGCGCGCCGTGGACTCGCAGATGGTCCAGGACAGCCTGCAGCATCTCCAGCATCATCAGCAGCAGCTAGCAGGGGCCGGGGGGGCCGGCTGCGCCCCCAGGACTGCCACCTCCTCGTTTCTAATCAAAGACATTCTGGGGGACAGCAAACCGCTGGCTGCATGCGCACCTTACAGCACGAGCGTCCCGTCGCCGCATCTCACACCCAAACCAGAAAGTGCCACGGCTCCGGACGGGTTCAGGCCCAAACTGGAGCAGGAGGAGAGCAGGAGCAAGCTGGACCCGAGGGAGGACATCCACAGTGACATGAAATGCAACGGTAAGAGTTTATCTGGCGCGCGCATTGTCCCAAAACAAGGTGAAGAAACGGAGCCGAATTTTAATCAATCAAATTTACCTAAAGACAAAAAGAAAACAATATTAAATAAAATAAGATAAGATAAGAAGGCTGTTCTGAAGTCACCGCAGGAGAAACTGACAAACAACATCAAGAGAAAAAATACTTTAAAAATAAAATAAATCACAGATACAAAGATAGCAAGAACACAGATACAACACATGACTGGATGTTCGCAGAGGAAAAACTCATAACTTCAAACTGCAAAAGATGCAGTTTAATGAAAAATGGATTTATTATAACACACCTTCACATCTGGATTATGAGAACTGTGGAAAATTAAACAAGAATGTTAATATATTATATACTTCAACACTGTAACAGTTTAAGAAAAGTTCAATAAAAAATAAGTTTAACAAATATAATGAATGTATTTTTTATATATTAAACATACTGCGCACCCATGTGTACTTTAATAATTTTATTAATTCAAAATATAATAAAACAAAATAGCATAAAATACATTGAAATACAATCATCTGTACTTATTATTGCTGAGTATTCAGACTGCAGGCTGTTGTATTACACAACAAAAACAATAATAATAAAAATAATAATAATAATAATCTGTGGCTTTGAACGTGCTTTATTAGTGTAATAGATGTGAAAACAGATGTAAGCCTTGGAGATTCTCCCCGCGCGCGCCTTCCCTTGTGGGTCAATTAGAGAGATTATTGTTGTTCCTGGAGGGGGGGGGGGGGGGGCTGAAACCAAGATATGGATTGATACATTGATGTCTCGTTTTCTGAAAGGGAAGCGAGAAAAAAAATTCCTCAAGTGACATTAAAAAAAAAGCTGATATAATTATTTTTTCTTGTTGTCGTTGTTATCGTCAGCCACGGATGGAGCAGGAATTGATGAAAGTTTGTTTGTTTGTTTGCTGGTGATATTATTCCTGATGTTTGATTGCTGCTCTCAGGTGCTAAAGAGGAAGGTGACAGGGAAATCTCCAGCAGCAGAGACAGTCCGCCAGCGCGCACGAAAAAACCGCGCAAAGCCCGAACCGCGTTCACGGACCACCAGCTGAACCAGCTGGAGCGCAGCTTCGAGCGGCAGAAATACCTCAGCGTGCAGGACCGCATGGACCTGGCAGCGGCCCTCAACCTGACCGACACCCAGGTCAAGACCTGGTACCAGAACAGACGGTAGGCCCCGCCCCACACTATTATTATTATTAATTATTATTATTAATAATTATTGTTGTTGTTGTTAGCCGAGCATAAAGCGAAAAAGTGCAGTTCCTGCAGTAACAAGAGTCTCTGACGGTCATGTGTGTTTTATTGCAGAAAAAAAGTTAATGTGTTTGTAAATATTAATTTATTTATAAATGAACATTCAATAACCGAGTGCTGCTCCACAAATCAGGCAAGCAAAATAGTTTTGAACAAAAACACGTTGTTTCAGAAAAATCCAATCAGATAAAATAAACAAACAATAACAAAACTTTATGCTCATTTAGAAGCAAATGTCTTGAAAACAGCTGCTGAAAAATAAACAGCTGGAGAAGAAGGAAAAAGTAGTTTTTTTCTGAATAATTCAGTTTGACAAATTAATTTCTGTCACGTCTGAATATTTATTTTTAAAAATGAAACACATTAAAATTTAAAAGCTTCATCTCAGTTTAACACAATTAAAACATTTTCTAGGTTTGAAGACAAATATTGAATTTGTGTTTTTTTTAATTTTATACCACAGTTCTTGCATCAACAACTAATTACTAATATAAATAATTCTTGTTGTTTCAAATCATTAGGAGCGTGTACTTTCAGAATAAATGCTGACTTGTACTAAAATAAGTCATTTAAATTTGTTCCTGTCAGAGAAGCAGCTTGTTTTTCTTTGTTTGTATTTTTCTTGCTGTCTAATGAAACCTTCACGTGCTGCAGTAATTAGGCCTCTCCGTACCAATTAAAGGTGAGTTCAGGGACTCAAAGCGCGTCAATAATTCATGTCTGTTTGGATCTGGTTTCAGGACCAAGTGGAAGAGGCAGACGGCCGTGGGTCTGGAGCTCCTGGCCGAGGCGGGGAACTACTCGGCCCTGCAGAGAATGTTCCCGTCGCCCTACTTTTACCACCCGAGCCTGCTCGGGACCGTGGACAGCACCACGGCGGCCGCGGCGGCCGCGGCCATGTACAGCAGCATGTACCGGACTCCCTCAGCGCCCCACCCCGGCCTCCAGAGACCTCTGGTCCCGAGGGTGCTCATTCACGGCCTCGGGCCGGGGGGGCAACCGGCGCTAAACCCCCTGCCCGGCACGCCGCACCCGCGGTAAGCCCCTAAATAACCCTAACTGCATGGGGAGCACTTTGCAGGACATCCCCCCTCCCTCACAGAGAGACTGAGACTAAAGGAGGTTTTTAATGTCGGCCCTGAAGACCCGGTCCGGGTCCGGACACACTGGACTCTGCTCATGTTGTTTGTTTGTTTGTCTTTTGTACAAAAACTGACTTTAGCACATAAACTGAAAGTTTATTAGATGGAGAAGAATGAATGAATAAAGACGTCATGAGACTAAACGGATTGAAGGCGCTTCTATTGACCCGCTCTAAACTCCTCATAATAAAATAAAATAATATAAATGAAGCTTTTATTATTATTAAAACTTTAATTCATGAACAGGATCAGGTCAGTGACAGACACCTTGTTCTGCGGACTCTGCTGACTTCCTGCAGCATATGCTCTTTAACTGGACCTGTATGGGGGGGAGGGGGGGGGCAACCCCCCCCCCCCCGCACCTCTCTGGTGCTGCTCACGCGCACACATGCATATGGATGCGCAGCAGCTGATCAGTGGCTCCTTATGGCCCCGCTTCACCGGGAATGTGGCCTTGGCTCTGCAGCTGTTCCCTGAACGGCCCGCAGACAATACAGGCCGCATTTCTGAGCGCGAGGAGGGTCGAGACAAGGGGGGGGGGGGGGTAGATAATCTGCCTCATTCTCAAGAGTAAATTTGTTCCAGACAGTTTTTTTTTTTTTTTAAGAAATAATCTCAGAGATTCCAAACAGATCTGCTGGGGGTGTCAGTTTTGTTTTTATTTTATTTTTTTATTTTGTTTATATTTTTATTTAAAAAAAGGAAAAAATAACAAACTACATCTGCCCATTTATTTCCCTTTTATTTCGACAACATTTAGCTGCTATTTTTTTTGTAGCTGCGGAAACAGCTGGATTTTGGCAATGTCCAAACTTGTGGGATCAGGAAGTAGTTTCATGTTTTTTATGAGTTTTTATGAATGTTTATGTGTTTTTATGTATGTTTATGTGTTTTTATGTATGTTTATGTGTTTTATGTATGTTTATGTGTTTTTTATGTATGTTTATGTGTTTTTAT